TGCCAGGAAAATTGACTCAGAAAGTGTGACAATGTTGAGTTTTGTTTCTTTGCCTGGTAGAATAGGACTGCAATCTTAACTGGTTAAAATAAAATAACATAAACAAGAACACCCCATCAGGCCACTAGTATTCAAAGATAACAGAAGATCTGCCTCAGCTAGCACCTATAGAAAACCCTTCAGTTCTCATGTTGCCAGTCGTCAAGAGAACATGTTCACGTGCCAGGCTCCTACTGGAATCAACAAGCGCATGAGTGGGGGCAAAAACACACAAATGAGTGTTCACACAGAATACACTTAGTTGCTTTATTAAACTTTCTTTCTTCTTAAGGTAATACTAAAGTCTAAGTAGATTTAACTTCATGTAGAGTGTTAAGGAGAAGTCAGAGTCTATTTTGAAGCTACAGGAAAGTCCAGAATGTTGAAACATTTGTATCAGCGTTGTCTGTAGCAGTATGCCATTTCAAAAAACCCAGTCTCTTCAGTCCGCTAATTTTTTGGGGGGGAAATAAAATTTCAGAAGAACCCCTTCCAAACCATGGTTACCATGCTGGACTGGCTGGCTGCAGTTTTGTTTTACAGAAGAGCAACACTTCATCTAATTTCTGTGTTCTGTATCCTGCTTTTTGTTCTAAAGTCATATCTGTGAAGATGTTCTTTGTGTTTGGTGGACAGAGGCCTACCACCAAGCCTGTAAACTACTTCTCAAAATACAGTATGAGAATTACACAGGTGACATCTCTACCGATCCTCTGCCAAAAAAAGATGAACATTTAAAACACAGTGAAATAATCTCTTTTTAGAATTTATGATCTTCTGTATTCCATTTGTGTACGGCCACTCCATCTCACCGTTTGGTAACTCGTCAGTGTCTTTGAGCCTTTATTCGGCCTGCTCACGCTACCCAGCACCCGGCAGTTCTGCTGCTGCTCCTGCTTCCCCCCATGCCCGGGTCTGCGATGGGTACCTCTGCCAGGAGACACACGAGGGGAGTAAGATGCAACTCCACACCTACGCCAGCACCCGCGCTGGGCCTGGTCCGCTAGCAGAGCTGCAAGCAGATGAGACCATAATTCTGCAACGTGTGCCTGACATAAATAGGTGGGAGTGGGGTGACGCTTTCTCCCCTTCGCAGTGACGGGGCTCACACCGGCTCTGGGGTGGCGGGTGAGCTGCACCCCCGGAGGGCCGCGGGCAGGTGCCGGACCCTTCCCCCGGGGGGCCAGGGGCCGAGTGCTGCCTCTGGCCCGGGGGTGCCGGAGGACGCCCGCCTCGGGCCGAGCCCGGCTGTGCCGCTAAGCCCCGTCCCGGAGCTTTTCTCGCCGAGAGCAGGCCTGGGGAAACCACGGCGGTTCCTGAGGGAAGCGCAGCCGCTCCGACCCCGACCCTGGCCCGGCCGCCCCCCACCTGCCCACCTCA